TGATTGTTACCTTTCACTTGCCCACTAGACTCATGTTTGACTTTAGGATTTATTGTAACTCTGTTTATTTCTGTCTGCATGAATAGACCTGGCTAGGGCATTATTCTACAGCAATGTATGGCATACTATCATGTGCTTTTTGATTCAAAGTAATTTTCTGCAAGTTCGTGTAAATAGTTGCTATGCTATGTACCTGTAACGAGATGAAATGAGAATGCTCTGTGGCCACTATAACTGTCATAAGGCTTGGTACTGAGCAAAGAATTTCACTGAAACTGCTCTGCCTTTCTGTTCCTTCTGTTATTCTGGGAATGAATCAAAGCATGTGAACATTTCTATTTAACTTTAAAGAAGCCAATGTGCTTATGGCACAATCACAGAACTAGTGTAGTTCAGGCTCTGTTGAATGTGAATAAGCTTGGCGCTGAAGACACTTCATGTAGAAAGATGCTCCAGGAGATGAATATGTTAGCTTGACAGTTAGGTGATCCAGGCTTGGTTGTCATGTAGTTGATGTAGTAGTAGTTGTTGTTGATGATGATGATGAAATCCCTGCTTGGCCACAAAATGTACTGGCTTGACTTTGGTCCTGTCATTCTCTCTCAGATTAACATACCACTCAGAGTCATCATGAGAATTAACAAGAGGTCCATGGTTACCCTGAGCTCCTGAAAGGAACAAGATAAAATTTTAATCAATCAATCAAAATATGCAAATAAAGAGCAGTGGGGGTTTTGAATTCTGTTCACCTATTCTGGTAATGGGAGAAAGAAGCAATGCATCTATGTAAGAGACATAGAGCAAGACAACTGACTTTTGCTGATACGTGTTCTCAGCTCAGAAGCTGAAGAAGAGGCTGTGGAGTAAGTCAACTATACTTAGCAATGCATTTTCAAAGTTTTTCTAGCTAATAGCCTTCCAAGCACAGTAGCTTTCTTAGCCATATCCTCTTTGGGTACAACTTTGTGTGGAGAAGGAAAATTGCTAGTTATCCTTTTACCTCTGCTTCCCAGGGATGCAAAACAAGACCATTTTTGAGGAGAAATTGAGGCCACAACTTTACTGGCAAATCAGGAGAGCATCTAGTGGAAGAAGTTCATTCAAAAGTAGGGAATCGTGAGAATGCCTGTCTCATATGTTGTAGGGGGAGGGAGTTCCAGAGGGTAGGTGCCACCACACTAAAGGTCTGATTCCATCATGATATGGAGTGGACCTCTTGATGCAAAGGTATCTACAAGAAGCCCTCTCCTGCAGAACACAGTGATGAACTACAGTAGGTGCATAAGGGATGTGACTATCTGTTAGACATCTTGGTCCCAAGCTGCAAGACTGTAGCAAGTCTTGCACATGTAGCCAGAATCAGAAATCTAACTGAAACTACTTGCTAAATAGAACAAGCAATGTAATCATGTGTAACTGTCTGACCATATGTTAGATTGGTCCTAGCATAGATTAAATCTGTGTATTGACCATTATTAGTTTGCTTTCAATCCATGCCACTTAATCTGGGCAGGCTATCCCAGGCATGCATGTAGAAAGTCTGGACCCAGCTCAAGACTGGATACTACAGTGCAGCTTGGGGACCCTTCAGGCTTATTGGAAGTGAGGATGATAAATAAGAGCGGGTATTTGAAGAGAACAGCCTGGTCTCCCATGGAGTAGACTTCCTACCAGAAGAATATAGAACAGATGCTCTGGGTAGAGGATATTTTTCACCTAAAGAAAGCTTCTGAGAGAGAGAGAGAGAGAAAGAGAGAGAACTCGCTGATGGAATCTAATTAACTAAGGCCTAGGAGAGAAACGCAAAACTCTTCTTAAGTGGAATCATTTACTGGCAATTTGATTTGAAATCAAGTTACTAGCAACTGCTGATTGGCTTTTTATCTCTTTCCCCCCTCCCCCCCCAAAAAGAAGATTCTGAACAACAAAATGCATTCACATAGTTGTCTGGCATCATTAACAGCTCTCTCAGATTTGTTTTCCCTGTCACTCTGTGATGTGCAGTGAACTAGACCGATATCAAACCAGGCTTAATGAGATATTGCTTTTAAAACTGTGGTTGCTTTGTGTTTTTGAGAAGTTTCATGAAGGAGTTATTGTGAGCTTAGAGATATCTACATACAGATTCACTCCTGTCCTACATGACTCCTCAAAGCCTTTCTGGAGGTTGTGTTGTGGGGTTCCTCGGCAGTGCATATATGCAGTTGTGGCCAGTTGCAGCCAGAAAGGGGAATCCTCCCTCCAGGTGTGAGAGGCCATGACTTATTACCCATCTTCTAAACCATAGCTTATAAAATTACCAAACTTTCAAAAAGGGTTTTGATCCAATGAATATTGCAGCCAAATTAATGGAAAATTTATGGTGGGTGGGTGGGTGTCTACTCAGTCATGAAGCTCACTGAGTGACTTAAGGCCACTCACCATCTCACAACATAATCATGTACTCTACCGAGAGCTCCTTGGAGGAAAGGTGGAAGGAAAATAAATAAATACTATATGTGATTTCCCATTGGTTTTAAAACAGGCTTTAAAACTACTAGAATCTGGAGATATCCAATAAAGCTGAACGTTGGAATATTTAGGACAGGCAAAAGAAATACTTCTACACAGTATTTAGCTAAAGTGTGGTATTCAGCCCCACAAGAGGTAATGTTGGTCACCAATTTGGATGACTTTTAAAAGAGGATTAGACAGCTTCATGAAGGATGAGACTACCAGTGGCTACTATTCATGATGGCTATACTCTCCTGTTATTGCTTTCACTTAGTTTTGATGTCGTATATTGTGTTGCCGAGTAACCAAAGCCCAGACAAGGACACAGGTGTCACTGAGTGGGAAAATATGCCCCATCTGCTCTATTGAGTCAGCTCTTCAGCTTTGTTTTGTTTTTTCCTAAAGGACTAATTTCAGCAGCAGGCATCCTTGCAGCCACGTAGTAGTTTTTGAGCAGTGACTGTGAAAGGCTAAATGGCAGCCGCAACAGGTCACTGAATAAGGTGCATTCAGCACAACATTGTTGATTGTGAATGAGATACAGTATACATCCTAATGGCACACAGCTCAGGCAGCAGCATTTGTTATTCTGCCATGTAACTGTTTGTTCTTATATTCTGCAGCGGTTGTTGATCGGTATGTTTAATACTGATTTTATTTTGTTGGGATGTCTTTTATAAGTGAGAGAAATTGGATGTGAGGAGAATGAAGTTAGACCCATGCTGGTGGGTGGAGTTTTAATTAATGCAAGACCACAGACATGCTTGGAGTGTGTGTATACCTCATCCTGTTACATGTTCTCATCTAGAAAGTCCATTCTTTTGCCCTGCTGACCAAATGTTGCTAGTGGAAATAAATCACTATTGCTGATTTAGATTTAGTTATATAACTATTCTAGTTTGGGTACCTACATGCAAAACCCACCCTTGGTAGCCCCACTGTCTCTCCTCCTCCTCTTCCCCAGTCCATGACATTCAGTGCACAAATGCTTGCTACACTGACAATGCTATGGACCTGGTTAATACTTTCAAAAGAGAACATCAAATGTTTCCTTTTAAAGATACGCAGGAGTCCCCTACCCTAGCCATGTACAGTCGTACCTTGGAAGTTGAATGGAGTCCGTTCCAGAAGTCTGTTCGACTTCCAAAACGTTTGAAAACCAAATCGTAGCTTCTCATTGGCTGCAGGAAGCTCTTGCAGCCAATTGGAAGCCCCGCCGGACGTTTGGCTTCCAAAACAACGTTCGAAAATTGGAGCAGTCACTTCCGGGTTTTGATTGTTCGGGAGCCAAAACATTCGAGAACTAGGCTGTTCGACTTCCAAGGTACGGCTGTATTTCCTACTTGCCCTCTCTCCAGTGGCTAAAACTCATTGTTTTATACAGGGAATGTTCATTGATGGGTAGCTACCGTATATGCCTTTAGTAACAATAATTAATTGAATTGGGAGCAAGAGCTTGGGAGCTGTCAGCTGCATCTGGCTTAAATCAGTGCAGCTGTGGTTGTGGATCTGACCTGCAACTCTTAGTACCTCTCACAGAAACCTCCAAAAAGCTCACAGGAAACTTAATTGGCTTTTATTTCTGGTTAGCCCCTTTCTTTTGTATTTCACGGTAATGACTCCCAACTCGCACAGTTGTTATACTTGTGCCTTTGGAACCTCCACCAACCATTCTCATTCCATGCTTCAAAAGAAGGAGCACTTTCTAAAGTTCAGTCCGCCCTTAGAGGATACAGAGGATTGGTAATGAAGTCACATTTCTAAAAAAGCAGCTTCCCCCTCCCTAAATTACAACTGTGAGGCTTGTACCTGGGCAGATGAGCAAATGATTGCAAGACTTCTGTTCTTTCCAGCTCAGAAAGTAGTATACATGCTGTCAGATGAGTAATCAAAGAGTGTTGCTTGAACTGATTAATTTTAGGAGTTTTACTACACATCTGAACATGCTGTTTAACAAGGAATTCCAACAGAAGCACACCCCTAAGTGGCTATTTCATTCATTATCGCCTTAGTGACCCTGCTCACAAATCTCGCATCTCTGCTTAAAGGAAATTCATCTGATTATAAAGTCCCACAGTCATACGACCGATGTAATGTTTAATTTTTTTTTTTTTTTTTTAAAATGTGGGCTGTATCCTGCTGTGTTTTGCTCAGAGCAGACTCACTGAAATTAGTTGACACGTTAGTCATGCCCATTAATTTAATAGGTCTACTTTGAGTAAAATTTATTTGGATACAATTTTACATCCCCCCCCCCGCTGCATGTAGCTAAGTTAGAAAAAATGCAAGACCTGTCTACTGCTTAACTAGGCTTCATAAAAAGCTCTTGTTAGAGAAATTGGAGGGACCTGGACTTAGACAATCCATGCTAGACAGAAGTGCTCTAGATCTAGTACTACTGTACTGGGAACTGGGGTTTGGACTGTATGAAATGGGATTATAAGGTGTATGGTTTGGGAGTGCTCATGGATCTGACTTGGCTCCTAGAATCCAAGTTAATCACTGTGGCCAGGAGTACTTTTGCAGAGCTTAGGCAAGGGCACCAATTATGCACATTGCTGGAGAAGGTGAACTTTGCCATAGTCATGCATGCCTTAGTTGCATCAAGGTCGAATCTCAGTTATGTAGCATCTTTCCCAAAGATGCTCACCCAGCACCAGTTCTACTAACTTTTTGTGCCAGCTTAAAAAACTGTTATTCGCGGATATTTTTAAGACCTCTTCTCCACCACTTTATTAATAGCTGATTAAGCTGTCATATTTTAAATATTGTGTTGCTAGCAAATTTTCTTCTTTTGTGTTTTATGATTTTTTAAAAATTGCATTGTATAGTTTTATAAATGTGTTTATTATAGTTATCATATCTAAAATTGTGCTGTAAACCTCCCTAGCATAAGATTGTATGAAAGGCATAACACCCTAAATAATGATAATGATGATAACTATTGTTGTTATTATTAATAAAATTTATATCCTGTCCTTACTCCCAAAGCCCAGAGCAGCAAACACACAGGTGACAAAACATCTAAAAACATATATTTAAAGATATCCAGTACAGATCTGGGAAAGACCTCTACTTAAAGGTGTGCTGAAAGAGGACAGTCTTCTGGAGGTGCCAAAAAAGACAACAGAGATATGTAGTGGGAAGCAATTCCAGACAGATCTTCTGGTATGATGTTCTCTGCTGAAGACTCTTACCTGCAGAGCACACTGGTTGACTAGGTGTATAAGGGGTGAGATGACCTTTCAGACATCCTGGTCCCAAGCTGTAAAGGGCATTTTGATTACTGTCTTCCCACAGATCTCTAAAAGCTCTCCTGAAGGAAGCATTAGACTAGCAGAAGTGTGTTGCAGAAGAACATGGGAAAGGTGTTACATTAGCCAGGTTTGCAAAGTGCCAGGCATACTGCACTTACAGGAAGCCTCATTGATGCAAAATAGATAAGTTTGGCCTGGATAAGGCTGGGCTTTGTCTGCAGAAATGCAGCTTCTTCCAGGAAAGCTCTTTAATGCTTCAGTTCAGTGATATTGCAAAGCACATTTTATGAGCTGCCACCTGCCCTGTTCAGGTTCTTCACTCCTGCTTTATAGTGTGTGTCGCTTAAAACTGGGTGCTGAATCTTCCTCTCTGCATAGAGACATTTCTCTAGCTTTTACCATATAACAGCGACCTTATTTTAGTAGCTGCAGATATGCAGAAAATAACTTCTGCTTTGCCAACTAAGAAACATGATGGGCTTTCATTGAATGTGTTTGAAATGTCTGATAAGCAATTCATGGATCTTGCATGACATTTTTTGTTTGTTTAACCTTGCATAACTATTGACAATGCCATCTTTTTGTTGTAGTCTATGGCCAATGAATTTGGGTTACAAAATATTATTATTTAATTGTGCAGATGAATTGGAACTGTCATAGAAGGTTTCCATGCGTTTTTCAAGCACTGCAGTATGTCTTTGTGGGCTTGTGGAGGGAAAGACACTTTTGGTTTCTGTGTTTTAAAATTTGGAGCTGACTGGGATGTATGTTGCAAATTGATGCACTTTTAATTAACACTAACTACAAGCTTTGTTTTTGATGGAAAAACAGACCTAATAATTTGCTTGAGGCTCCTGAAAGACTTTAAAAAGAGGCTGGCACTAAGTAATTAAATATAAATGCCAGAGCAATACACCATGGGGACATATTGGTTAATATCCAATTGTGCTATCCCACATGTGCAACACACCACTTGTACCGATCGGACTTACCCTCCTTCCCCCCTCTGCAATCCCTGCATACCCCTCAGAATCTGCTCCATGTGGTGCAGGGGGGAAGGGATGGGGAAAATTCCATTATATCCACTGGTACAACATTGGATCTTGACCATTGTTCCTTATACAATAAAATTGTTTCCTGTAGATAGGAGGGTTCATGCTATCTTGGACTTGGTCACTTAAAAGCCAGTTATGACATGTGCATGAAGTGCTCTGCACGAAAACATGAGCAATGTCTTTTAACCCTCTTGTTTAAGAAGACATTGCATATTACTGGTGCTGCTACTACTACAATTTATTACATGTCCTTCACTCTAAGGGCAGGTTGCCACAGTTAAAACACAGCATTAAGCCACTATAAAAACGATTCACACTACCACTTCCCCCCCACTCCATGGGTGTTTCAGAATTGCCTGGTGGGGCAGATTTATTTAGAATGTAAGAGTAACCTGCTGGATGATAAGGCCAGTGGCCCATCTAGTCCGTAAACCTGTTATTGCAGGATAACCAGCTTCTTATGGGAAAGCAGAACATGAGCACAACAGCACTCTTGCCATTTGTGATTCCCAGCAACTGGTGTTCAGGGTCATATTGCCTCAGACAGTGGAGGCAGAGCACAGCCACCACCAGTAGTAGCCATTGATAACCTTATCCTCCATGAACTTGTCTAATCTTCTCTTAAAACCATCCAAGGTGGTGGTCTTCACTACCTGGGAGCTTTCCTGTGGTGTCCCGAAGGATTTCATCTTGTCCCCCTGCTACTTAACATCTATATGAAACCTCTGGCAGCTGCCATCAGGAGTTTAGGAGTGAATGGACACCAATATGTGGACGACACCCAGGTTTACCTCTTCATGCCATCTGAATCAGAAGAGGTGACTGAGTTGCCACATGTTTGGAGGCAATGATTGGGCTGGAGGTGGACTGAAAAACTGAAACTGGATGGGGGGGGGAGTGTTATGAGATCCAAGTTCTCAAGCAGAGCAAGTGGGGAGATGGCCTGTTCTGGATGGGGTTGCTGATTTGTGAAACACTCCATAGTTACTCTTCATGACATGCTGTCTCTTTTTTCTGTCATTCTCATTGCCCTGGTTTGCATCTTTTCTATTTTTAATTCATCCTTCTTGAGCATGGGGACCCCAACTGGGCATGGTATCCCAGCACTAATATCTTAACTTGCTGTAGTTGCCAACTTATTTAGCTGCTATACAAAAGAACAGGAAAAAAAACCATTTGATGCATCTAGAACTTGTCTAAATATCAGAAGGGTCGCATTGCTCTCTGTGTGTGTCCTGTTCATATGAACCATACAAAGGTGTGTACTTCAGTTTTGGTGTTCCGTTCTTGGTTTAGATGTCACATTTCAAGGTCATTTTTGCCTTCCGGCTCAGACATTATTAAAAACCACTCAGATATAAATAAGCGACACGGAGCCAGGATTTTCCTGGTTCATCTAACAATGTGCCCTACTTCCACCTTTCACCAGCAGCTGTCCTTTCCTTTTTTAATTAAAATTCTCTCCCCCTCCTTGCATATTTCATTTCATTGGCATACCACAGGGCTGTAGTTTCAGGGTTTGTAAAGGAAAAGAATGTTATTCACTGATGCTTAGTGAATCCCAGTAGCCTTTGTGAACTGTTGTCAAGGTCTGATATACTCTGTAAAGTGTTTTTTCTCTGTCCTTTTTTGCATTCTGAAACTTTCAAGCTGCTGTAAAGATCAGGGGGATAGCTAGTGAAATCTCCTAGAAGTTAAATGTAACATTCAAGGATTTAAATGGGTCTTTGTGGATTGCTCTTACTGTATGAAGCAAAATGAATACTAAGGTCTTTGCTGCCAATGTGTTAGCCTACTGCTGTGCTTTTTTAAGGACTGCTTTCATCAATTGTTAAGGAGCATATTCTCTGTTGGTTTGAATCAATGCAGCACCAGTGTCGTCAGAAATCTTTATTGTGTCTTAAAATCTAGCATAATGAAGAGCTGGATCATTTTAGCAGAAACTGTTTTGTTAAAAACACTTGTGGTAAAATAGTATCTCTGTGACCTTCCATAGGTGATGCACAATGCAAAATTATTAATGCAATAGAAACCATAAATTTGTGTTAGTAAGTGTTGTATTCAGGTTGTACACTCTTTAGGAGTGGAATTTGGACTTGCCACTTTTCTACTACTTTGGAAAGGCAGGATTTATTGGCTCTGTGCAGATGCAGTGCTTCTTGACCATGGTTAAGAAATTGTGAGCATTGCTCAGCCTTTCTCATTCTTTCTCTGCTTCCTTTTTCTCATTCCTCTTCTTTTTTCCCTCCCTTCCCCATTCAGTTTTAAACTATGGATAGCATTTGGTCTGCATTGGGTTGAACATTAGTTATGATTAGCATTAAAACATCATTTGAAACCTGCTTTTAACTTTGGTTCACACTGTGGTTGCTGTTGAACATGGTTCCAGCCATAGCGTTGAGCATGACACCAATGTAATGCTCTGCATATATAACGGCAAAGGTGGGTTGAGTTCAGAATAGGGGTTAAACTGTGACTTGAGCCCATACTCCAATGTACTAGTGTGGAAAACAAAAGTAGAACTCAGGTTAGAATAATGTTGCAAGTTTTAATTAATTATAACTAATATAAAATAGGCTAAAGCTCAGTTTCCTTACATATAGAAATGAGAGAGGGTGGAAGGAAGAACATGCAAGCCTGAGGAGTGCTCTTGACCTCTTAATGGCAGATAAATATTAGGAAATAGCAGCTCTGCCTTGATCCATTGGGATTTGCAAAATTGATGAAGAAAAGTTCCATGTCAGATTTTAAGACTTTGATTAAAAAACAAAAAACAGGCTGGAGGAAAAGGGATAGAATAGGCAGCAGACTGGGAAGGAGGATAACTCTGAGAAAAAGCATAAGATAAAGGAATATTGTGTGGGAGGGTAGGAGAACAGCAGTTGTGGAAAGGGGAGTTTGTGTTATTGTCAGGCAAAGCTGTGTACAGCTGAGGTAACTTTTGGAAACTGGGAGAGTGTGGGACTGCGAAAGACACAGTTGTAGCAGAAAGGGTGGCAAATGGACTGTAGGGTTTGAAATTACCTGCTAACCTGTGACTCCAGTTCCCACCAGCCCCAATGGACAGGGATGATGGGAATTGGAATTCAGAAACATCTGGAGGGCCACAGGTTCCCCACTTGGATTTCATTGTTTTTGTGCAGGTCCTTTTTAATAGGTTTTTAAAAAGCGTTTTCTTTTTGTCTGGGTGGTGCTGTATTGCACTTTGAGGGTGAAATACAAAATGTATTCTAATACAATTCCTTTCTTCTGCTCTTTGGAAGGGAGAAACAGCAGTGCATGTGGAGTAACTTCCCCTGAAATCATTTCTGAAAGTCTAATGAGCAGAGAATGGCTTTGCTTTCTCTCATCATGCTTCTGCTATAAACAAGTAGTAACAAGTTGGCTCTGAGGCATATGGAAATGTCAGAACGTTATTACCTTAAATAGTTTTTTTCTGCTGTGAAATGATCTTTCTCTTCCACATCATTTGAAAAGAAGGAAGGTTTGAGTTATGTTGACAGTCAACATTTCCTTCCTCTCAGACACTTGGGAGAAAAGGAAATGGGTGTTTCAGGCATGAATAAAGAGAACTGGATGTTGCTTTTGAACCACCACCCGTGTGACCTTGGCTTAACACGTCAGTGCCTCAGCTTCCTTATAAATGAAATATGGGTTAACCCCACAGTCCAGCGTGGACCAGTACACCAAGTCAGAGATGAGAGTGGGACTTACTGAAGAGCTAGCCTAGCCTTCTGTTGGTGATCAGGGGCCCACAGGCGAAAGCCTGCTAAATCAAAACCCACAGCACTAGGGTCCATGGAACCAGAGACAAATACCTCTCACATATATTTTCCCTCGGCTCAAGGAACTAAGTACCTCAGACACCACTTTGCCAGACCAGCAGCACAGGAAGTACTTATTGGGTGGCCATGGAGTGCAGGAGAAGTGCCCATATTCAGGTCAGAGGGTCGGCCCTTTTAGGGAATCTTGTTCTCCAGCAAAGTGGATAGAGCATGACATAGAGTGTGCACAAAAGGCCTCAGTTCACTTCTTGTTAGAGCAAGTTGCTGCCTAGTTGCTCTGCTTGGTGGTGTGAGACTTGCTTGGTGTGTTCCCCTGTGGGACCAGAACAGAAAAGAAAGGATACTGAGGTCCTTCACTGTTGTTATAGGTGTTACTGCAAACATATTTGTTAATCTACCCTCAGAAAGTGATTTGAGTGTTTCACACTGTTAGCTGAAGTTCAACAGTAGAGCCTATTTTGATCTCGTGTTGGTACTATAATGATATTTAATTGCATACATCCCATTCTTTCTTCATAAAATTTTGAATTGTGGCTCTCAGGCAGTCAGGCACCCAAGCACTTCCTTGGCTGAGAGACCTTTTCTTACCTTCAACAACATCGCAGCTTTTGAGAAGGACTTGTTTTATGTCACCAGTCGAGACTCTTAAGTAGATTTGTGCCTCGGGGGCGCCTGTTTTTCAACAGCAAAGAATTATGGTAGTTTTATTTTAGAGTGTTGTTATTTTTACAGCTCTTTGTAGTATTTCATGATGTTTTGAGATGTAAGTAATTTGGATTATCTTGTAAGAAAGACAGGTTATTATGAAGTGTTTCCTCTCTCTCAATAAAAAGCATCATATGCCTTTCAACCATTCTCTTTGGGCATGTCCACAAGGTAATTTATTGTGGACTCCGGTCTACTTATGCATCCATTGCCTCCTTCCCCCAGTAACCTCATCAAAATCCCACCCCGCATCCCCATTTAATCCAGATTTACCATTTCAGTGGTGGATATATTTTTTTTAACTTATCAGATTGGTTGCAGAAATGGTTGATCCAGATCGAATGGAAAAATAACATGGAACAGTACTTTGGATGAGGACAACATCATGGGGATGCTGTGTAAAACTTGTAGACTTGAGCAGCCTTACACCCTCAATAAAATGTAATGTGGAAGTGCCCTTAGTCTACTTTTTAATGCATTTTTAAAATGTGCTTTTGGCTGCTTTCACATGAAACACTTAAAATGCTAACTAAATGTTTGCTGTCTCCATGCTGGCATCGAACTAGTCACTGCAGTGCCAGTTCAAAAGTTTTGTTTGTGAAGTCCCTAACTATATCACTTCTTATTGCTGTTGAGAAGCCTAGTGAGACCAAAGTAGGGATGGAGAACCTATGCTCCCCCCAACCCCAATATTACTTGACTCTAACTCATAGAATCATTGAATTGTAGAGTTGGAAGGGGCTGTGATGGTCATCTAGTCCAACCCCCTGCAATGCAGGAATATGCAGCTGGCTCATCATACCTGACCATTGGGAGTTGGAGGGCCCCACATTGGCTACCTCTGGATACAGATCTGAGTTCAAAACAAGTGGGGAGGGGAGGAAAGATTTGTGTATTTTTTATGTGCAGTATTAGACGGTAGCATTTATGTCTGGCTAAATTTTGAAAAGAAATAGATTTTTGTCTGTGAATTTTCATGTTGTTGCCAAATTTGTCATTGGGTAGAGAGTAAAAGCCTTGCTACATGGTCATAATTCATATGACCATGCCACTAACAAGAAAATTGAGCTGTACATTACTGGTAGGTGGATGGGCTAACTGTTGATAAGGATATCATCAGGGATGTTAATTGAGGACCCTTTATTAGGAATTCAGCCATTTAAAGTGCCATGCACCTTGCTGCTGAATGAATGAAAGAAGCCCTTGCAAGTGATGTGAATGCAAATTAAGAGTATTTAATTCAAAACAAATTTGGGGGGGAGGGCTCCTAATAATCTCCAAATGAATCTGCCTTTGTTCTGCTTGAATAATAATTTGGAAAGGGTAGAGTTCTCTTAGAATTTCCCTATTACTTTAGACTTTAACAAAAATGCATTTAAAATAATTTCCATACTTACCCCCATGAATGCAGAGTGGGAAAATCTTTCATTCCATGCCTGTTGATGCCTGCATTATGCCATTAAGTATTTGACTTGTGGTGTTCCTATTACCCATTCATTGCTAAAAGTTTAGGTTGCTCTCGGAGCTACCATGCTTTACACAGTTTTTGTGTTTTGACCGAGGTGGTGGTCATAGCTAAATGGGGTTCCAGCCTGAATGGGAAAGAGGCAGGGAGGGGGAGGGGGAGGGAGAGAGAGAGAGAGATGCTTGGGTTTGGGGAGGCAAGGCAGGCAGTATCAAGCAAGGTTAGACTGAGGTTCCAATAAAGCAGAATCAAACAAATCAGAAGTCAAGTTCTGGAAAGGCAAAGTTCAAGTCCCAGCTAGCACCCTGGATATCTGTGTATGTAGCTCAGACTATTGAGTCTTAGAAGCTCAAATGTTTCTTCTGCAATATACAAACCTCGACCAAACTTTAAATAGAGCTGTAGCTCAGTTGTGTGTGTAGGGTAGGGGGCAGCGGGCTGACTTCACCTCTGGTAAAAGAATCCTCTTCAGTTAAAGGGTCTAGCCTTGTTCAGTCAGCGTTTACTCTAGTTCATGGGAGGCCATGGTTGTTGTGGGCTGGAGCTCATGGATGATGACAGGCTGGGTAGATGCTGGCAAAACAGGCCCCTATTGTGCTGGTACTTCCGAAGCAGTGGGGACATTTGGGGCCAGATCTGAGAGCAGTACTGCCTTCCATTATCATAGCCCCTTGGAATTCACAGATGTCTCCCCTGAAAGTCAGACCCAGGAGCAGGACACATTGCAAACCGTGTGAGGTCACACAGAGGCTGTCATCCTACAGGAGCAATGTGAAGTTCATACACCATGAGGTTATCACCCGGGTAGCTGGAAGGATTTCTGAGCTCCACATTCAACACTGAAATATTCCCATTGCGCTGCATGAACCATTGCTACCCTGGCTTGTTTCATGCCAGAATTGTGGCATTTGCCATAAATTCTGGTTGTTCTGTAGCCTTATTGGAGTTCACCGATTGGGTCTGCGTTGCTCCCGGACGGGAGAAAGGAAGTCAAATGACACCAAGGTTGATTCAAAGAAAGAGTTTATTCCGCTCTCCGGACAGCAGAAGGCACTTGCGTGGTCAGTCCACAGCAAGTCCAAAGAAATGAGAAATTTCATGCAGTATATATGTATCTTCCAGGCACCCTCTCCCTCCTCCCCCAGGAATCCAACCACGTCAGCCTATACATGCAGGTTGACATCACATATGTTCCTGCTCCAGTATTCTTAACCATAAAAGGGTAATCCTTCCTGTACTTCTGACCATAAAAGGGTATTCCTTCCTGTACTTCTGACCATAAAAGGGTATTCCTGTTCTTATACTCTTATCTTGGAGTAAGAGGTCACCAATTCCAAGAACACACTCTGCCGCTGTTTCCGGACTAGGTCTGTGCGTCTTTGTGGTCTTTGTGGTCAGGATGTAAGATAAGGCCCAGAGTGTCATCCCTGTTCCACTTTGGAATGGACAAAGCCATCTGTCATTACCGGCCTTCATGGACTGATAAGGGAGAGAGCTTTGAGCACTTGTTTATACAGCTGGGTTTTTTGCTCAAGAGCTCAAGTTAAAGCATGTTAGCTAAGGAAAAATAGGGATTTTGGTGCAGTTTCAAACTGCCTGCACAGTCAGTTTTGGGTTTGGGAAACCCATTCCTTCAGTTCTACATCACATCCAGTCACATCATTCATTGGGATGGCTGTTGGGTCCTCCCCGCAAAACACACATTTCAGTTGCTGCAATTGGTACACTGTTAGGCTAACTCTTTCAGTGCCTTTTGCTATTAAATTCCTTCCAAGTGTTCAGACTTGGCTGCTACCAGAACAGCAG